ATGAAGATAATCTCCCATTCTCTACTTCGGGTTCTAAGATTCTGTACTCCTAACTTGTGTTACAAGACACCTACACATCTCACCAGCATGTCAACTCTTAACATGTCCAGAACCAAAGTCGTGATCTTACCCACAAAATACATCTCCCTCCTGATGTGGCTATTTCTACCAATGCATTCAACTCCTCAACATAACTCAGTGCCCTTAGGGTCAGTTTGTTGGTTTCATGTTCAGTGATCCAGTTCAATTTCAGCATAGTGCCGTCACATCTATCTTTTCTGTTCCTTTCCTTATTTCCTCTACCTTACATTAGGCTTTCAAAGCTTCTCTCATGGACTTACTGAAGGAAACTTATCCATTACTTGAAAGTTATCTTTAGGTTGTGAGACTGCAGGTGATTTTTGTTATCTTCCTTGTACCTTTTTGGATTTAAAAAAAAATTCACAGTGAACATGTAGTCCATTCATTAAAAAAAATTTTTAAAACTGACTATAATAAAAGGAAAAAAAGAAACAGTTTCATTCACTCTTTGAGAATTTATTGAATGCTACCTCCCTCAAGAAGTGTTTCCACATTTCCATAACCAGGCTTATTTGATCATTTCTTTGATGTTGCGCTTTTTTTTTCATACCTCTCATGTCATTAATATATTTTAATGTTTTTGTTTTGTATTAAATTTGTGTGGTTGTCTTACTCACCTATTAGTCAATTCTTGAAGACTGAAAATAAGTTTTATCCTGATTCTGTTTATGGGTAATAATTTCTCTGTAAATATCTGTGAAATGTATTGAATTGAACCCAAATAATATAATATGAGCTGATAACCACTGAGTTCTGTGTCAGATTCTCTTATTTGTCTCAAAGCTTATTAAGCCTAGTGTCATTGTCACCAAAATCTCATTCATGATGCGTTTCCTGGCTGAGAAAGAAGTCAGAAAATAGGTCAGGTGAGCTGTCTTTATTGGGTTCTAGTCCAATCATTGGTTTCTTTTAGAGTAAGTGGGTGTGAAGCAGGAAGCCTGAGGCAGAACAGAGCACTGGGGCATTATTTAGTAAAAGAAAAAGTTGTTTGTTTTAATCCAAAGCATTTGCATGTTTCCTTAGACTTTATCATAATGATACCTCCTCTTCTCTATATGTCAGTTGACTACTAATGTTGTAGATATTTAAATGGTCAGTATCCATTAATACTAAGTAGAAATACCAAGGGATTCCTAATTCAGACACCTTTAAAAGTGCAGGTTCTATTTACCTACTACAGGCTTCAAGTATCTCTCTATATATACTGTCTTTAGTTTCACGCTGGGAGATGGGAACACTTGGGATCCCTAGACCCACTGAAGGGTACTTCTAGTTTGAAATCCTTACAGGATTCTTATGACCTATGGCCCACTGCTCATTTCTCCACCAAAAATGCAACTAAAAAAAAAAAAGGTAAAAATGCCATTCTTTTGTTTGTATATTTGTGCATGTAGATTAGATGTTGTCTTGAGCCTTAATCTAAAGTTTGAAAAGTTAGGCTAGCACCCAACAAGGAAGAGTTTAATATTACTACTTTGTATATGGGGAACTAAATGACCATATATGTACCAGGAAATCACGTACTTGTTCAATTTATTTTTAAAACACGTACACATTGTCGCTCTGTTCTAGGTACCTGTTCTAAGTACTTAGAAACATTGCTAATCCTCATAATAACTCTATGGGGTTGGTACTATTACCCCCATTTCACAGATCAGGAAACTGGGGCACTGAGCAATTAAGGTAAGTTGTCCAGGAGCTCCCTGGCAGTCCAGTGGTTAAGACTCCGTATTCTCCCTGCCAAGGGCCCAGGTTTGATCCCTGGTTGGGGAAGTAGGATCCTGCATGCCGTGCAGTGTGGCCAAATAAATAAATAAGTTGTACAAGGTAATTTTTTAAACTACTGAGTGAGACCTGGAATTTGAACCACGGCATCTGGCTCTGCAGACTTATGCTCAACACTACTGTCCTCTCATCCTTAGACCTAAGGCTATTCTGTTCTTCTGGTTAAGGAGAGTGCCTTTGGGTATTAGTTCCAGGTAAGTAATGTTCCATTCCTTTGGATAGTTTTATCAAGAAACATCTCTTAAGTGCTTGATTGCACAGAATCTGTACCAAATGCTTCCTGAGTTTGGATGGATTTAGAAGATAAGGAATAAATGCTTATGTAGGGTGTATTTATGTTAACTATCCTCATAAAGCTTCCCCAAAGATAAGGGAATATGGATACTTTGCATGTCTGTAGTGCTTTCAGAACTCATAAGTCATTGCCTTTGCTCCTCACATCAGCTCTTTTTTTAAATTTTTATTATTATTTCTTTTTGCGGTACGCGGACCTCTCACTGTTGTGGCTTCTCCCGTTGCGGAGCACAGGCTCCGGACGCGCAGGCTCTGCGGCCATGGCTCACGGGCCCAGCCGCTCCACGGCATGTGGGATCTTCCCGGACCAGGGCACGAACCCGTGTCCCCTGCATCGGCAGGCGGACTCTCAACCACTGCGCCACCAGGGAAGCCCCTCACATCAGCTCTTTGGTTAGCAGGGCATAAATTAGTACTAGTTTCATTTTACAAATGGTCAAATGAGGCTCAAAAAGGTGAAGTGACTTTCCAAAAATCTCAGATACTGAGCAACAGGATTAGTGCTCTAATCCAGTTCTCCTGACTCCAAATCCAGGGATCTTTCTCCTATATTAAACCCCTTTCCTGTGATCCGAACTTTGCAGTTACACTGGCAACAGTATAGAACAACAAGTGACTGGAAACCAAGATACTGCCTTCTCTGTGTGCCACAAAGTTAAAAATTTAACTGAGCTCACCTAAACCACCAGACCCTTTGTTAAATTCCCTTCTTCATGTGCAACATTTGTTAAACCTAGTACCCTTATCACCAAAAGCTCATTTATGATGGGATTCCTGACAGAGCAGATATGCTGTCTTTTCCGGTCCTGATCCAGTAATTCTGTTTCTTAGTCCCAGGAAGTGGGTGTGGAATAGGGAGCCCAAGAGACACAAAATAGCAGTCTGGACTGATGCCTTTCCCCACTTTCCTCACATTCCACCTCTGCAGTAGCCATTTACTTTTCTTTTCTTTTTCTTTTTCTTTTTTTTTTAACATCTTTATTGGGGTAAAATTGCTTTACAATGGTGTGTTAGTTTCTGCCGTATAACAAAGTCAATCAGTTATACATATACATATGTTCCCATATCTCTTCCCTCTTGCGTCTCCCTCCCTCCCACCCTCCCTATCCCACCCCTCCAGGCGGTCACAAAGCACCAAGCCAATATCCCTGTGCCATGCGGCTGCTTCCCACTAGCTATCTACCTTACGTTTGGTAGTGTATATATGTCCATGCCTCTCTCTCGCCCTGTCACAGCTCACCCTTCCCCGTCCCCACATCCTCAAGTCCATTCTCTAGTAGGTCTGTGTCTTTATTCCTGTCTTACCCCTAGGTTCTTTTCAACCACTCTTGTGAGGTGTGGCTATTTGGCAAAGCTGAAGGGCCTTTGCCTTCTGTTGGTTTGAGGCAACAAATTCTAGAAAGGGTTACATAGCGAATAGTCTTTATTTCAGAGGAAATAGCCATGCCTCTGGGGCTCCAGGTATGAAGTTATGAAGAGTCAGATGTATGATCAGATTCTAAGAAAACTTTAAATGCTAGGTCATTTAAAATTTTGTCAGCAGGTGGCTCTTCTCTCCTTATTCACCAAATACATTCTCGCCAAAAAAAGAAATATTGTTTCTACTTCTTTGCTGCTATCGAGTTCCTCAGACTTCTTTAGTCACATCCAAACATTTCTCCTCAGTTCCCTTTTGCAGCGATTTAGTTTACAATAAGTTTATGCATTTTAATTTATTTATACTCTCCACAAAGGATTTGAAATTGCTTACAACATACAGTATGCCATAGTAAAATATGAGGAAAAGGGGAGAATATAAAATGCAATAAAGAATATGTAATTCGATTCTGGGTTGCAGGTAGCTGGAGCAAATCAAACAAAATATAAATATATGGTTTGCATTACCAGGTCTCTGGGTGAGCGAGCAGGAAGAGAGAATGACTTTTCTAGGATTTGAAATTAAAATGAAAGTTCTCACCTAGAGTTATTGGAGGCAAGTTTCTGTTGCTGTGTCCTTCTCATCTCTCTAACCTAATTTATAATAAGTTATTCATGGTCTGTAAAAACTAAGCAGTACTTTTACTACCCTGCAGTCTCAAGGCTGCATGATCAGCATTTCTCAACCTCTAAGCTTCAATTTGTTCAAGATGCAGGCTTCACCCATTCATTCATCCTACACAGATTGAGTTCCGACTGCCTACAGGGCGTTGTCCTGGGCACTGGGAACAGAAACATATCCATTAGGTAGGCTTGGGTGTGCTCAAAACAATTTATAAGATTTTCTTCTGTCTGATTTTATGTAGTTGGAGAAAGAAAAGCTACGTTTCTACTCATAAAAATTAGAGAGCTATGCCATGCAGTGTTATAATCGAACGATAAACCTGTGTGATTGATCTTAATAGGGCTCTAGGATTGTTCTATTTAAAAATAAATCGGTAAATTACATGTCATTCAAGTTTCTAATAGAAAACCCGACTAAAACCGAGGCTTCCACACAGTTTGTAAGAAATGGCTTGGTCTGCAACAGCTGGAGTAGGCGAGGGTAGGGGGCCGGGGTGAGAGGAGGGCCCAGGATGCTTGCCAGCAAGGAACCTGGGGGACCGGCGTCGCGGCCCGCACACTGTTGTCTGGGGTTGAGACCAGGATTGGGGGGAGCGGGGTCAGGGCCGGGAGGGGTGGTGGTGATGCTCCAAGGAGACGGACCCAGGATTTGGTCTCCGAATCCCGGGGCCCGGCCCCCAGCGCCCGGGGGTGGCGACGGCTTTGTGGCGCGCGTGGGTTCTACCGCGGGCGGCGCGGAGGCGGGGCTGCGCGGAGGCGTCCACCACTCTCAGCCCTCGGCCCTGCAGCGGGCGCCCCGCATGGCCAGCCCCGCGCGGGCCGGTTTCCCCGCGCGTAATAACAGCCGCCTGGACGCGTTCCTGCGGAGGCGTCTGCCGGCCCGAGATCTACAACGCCATCCGCGCCTACGAGCCGTGCATCGTGGTGTCCGACACGGGGAAACACACCTTAAAGTACGTGCTGCTCGGTGACCGGCTCATCTACCTGACCGAGAACCCGCTCCAGTCCATCCGGCGAGTCGTGGCGCTCCGGAACATCGCGGCCATTGACCTGGGGAGGCGCGCGGGCGGGCTCGCGAGAACCCCCCTTCTTGGGGGGGTTCTGTATGCACTCCGAATAAAGATGCTTTTACCGTTCTCATCTTGTGTACCGGTCATCCCCTGTCCCCTCAAATACAGATTTGGAGAACATAGCCCCCTATCAGAAGTACGCTTTGAGGTCATTCCTAAGTTCATTAAGCATCTAGCCTTGCCAAGCACTGTCTAGACACTGAGGATACAAAAATGAAATAGGGCGCCATCCCAGAAGCTGCTGTGGGAGAGACAGAAAGCCAACACCAGGACAAATAAATGCCATGTGATAAATGCTATTATGCCTTGTTTATTTTTTTATTTTTAGGGCTTAGAGCGTGTTAGGTGCTCAATATGAGTTAAGTGAATAAATGAATTAATGAATGCATGCATGCATTAATGAGATGCGCATGGGACGCCTGGCACTCTCAGGCGGATCATTCATCCAAACTGGGCTCAGGCCATGCTGGGAAAACTTCCTGGAAGGAGTGTCATAGCGGAGCCTTGAAGGAGATACAATCTGTCCCAGTTTTTAGTGTGCTGCTACTGTATCCCTTTCGTCCAGGAATAGATTTACCTTATAAACCAGCAACAGCTTGAAGCAGTCTCTCTCCAATTACTGTTTTTCCCCCTTGGCTCCCTTTGTCTGAGCTGCTCTTCAGGTGTGTTCTTCCTTTTTCCATTGGGGACAGGTGTCTAGCCTCGTTTTTCTTTCCTTTGCCCTAGTCTCTGTGTCCCTCAAGGGAGAGAGGTTGGCGAGACTCTTGATAGAGCTGTTTTTTAATTTTTATTTATTTATTTATTTATTTATTTATTTTTGCGGTACGCGGACCTCTGACTGCTGTGGCCTTTCCCGTTGCGGAGCACAGGCTCCGGACACGCAGGCTCGGCGGCCATGGCTCATGGGCCCAGCCGCTCCGGGGCATGTGGGATCTTCCCGGACCGGGGCACAAACCCGTGTCCCCTGCATCGGCAGGCGGACTCTCAACCACTGCGCCACCAGGGAAGCCCTGATAGAGCTGTTTTGCCAAGAAAATCATAGCTTGTTTGGAACATGTCTGTAAGAAAATAATAAAATTAAATGAAAAAAGTAGGGCTTCCCTGGTGGCACAGTGGTTAAGAATCCGCCTGCTAATGCAGGGGACATGGGTTTGAGCCCTGGTCCGGAAAGATCCCACATGCCGCGGAGCAGCTAAGCCCGTGCACCACAACTACGGAGCCTGCGCTCTAGAACCTGCGAGCCACAACTACTGAAACTCGCGTGCCTAGAGCCCGTGCTCCGCAACAAGCCACTGCAATGAGAAGCCCATGCACTGTACCGCGGCTAGAGAAAGCCTGCACGCAGCAATGAAGACCCAATGTAGAGAAAAATAAAAGAATGAATAAAATAAATAAATTAAAAATAAATAAATAAATGAAAAAAGTAAATGCTTTCTTTTTCTACTTAAAATATCACCGTGGGCTGATATCACTATGCTAATTTCTTTGCTTTATTTGAGCCAAAGCTGGAAGTAAAACTGCCTTTTCCTCACTGCTACTGTTTGCGTTCTCTTGAACTAAAATTTTTAAAAAATTAAACTTCTGACCAAATGTTTTAGAAAACATTAAACACTCAACTTCTTCTAGTGTCTGCAGTGTAAACATGTATTCTTTTAACAGAAAATAGTGATTTTAGGATATTGTTACTCTCTCCAAAAAGAGACAGTATACATATTTCAGTAGTTGTTATATGTATTTCTTTTTAAGCTGTCAGAATCTGAAAAGTACAGTAAAGCTCCCTAGGCCTCCCAAGCCAAGAATATTACAAAAAGGCATACCAATTTATTTATTTATATGAAATACTACATATTTCAGTAGTTGTTATATATATTGCTTTCTAAGCTGTCAGAATCTGCAAAGTACAGTAACGCTCCCTAGGCCTCCCAAGCCAAGAATATTACAAAAAGGCATACCAATTTATTTAGTTTACAAGGTAAACTCTGTACTCGATTTACAGAGTTTACCTTTCAGGCATATAGAAGAATGTGTAATGTCTATAAAGGTGCCGAACAAATCTAAGATTTCAGCATTGTTGATAGATTTAATGTCCATCTTACACAATATAGTTTAACTTTGTTTAAAGGTGTGGTAGGCAGAATAATGGCTCCCAAAAGATATCTCCAGAACCTGTTTTACGTTACATGGCAAAGGGGAATTACAGTTGCAGATAGAATTAAGGTTGCTAGCTAATCAGCTGACCTTAAAAGAGGGAGATTATCTTGGATTATCTGCATAGGGCGAATGTAATCACAAAATCCTTAAGAGTGGAAAAGGGAGACAGAAGAAGAGTCAGCAGCAGAGTGATGCAGCATAAGAAAGACTACTGGTTTTGAAGTTGGAAGGGGGCCACGAACCAAGGAATGTGGGTAGCCTCTAAAAGCTGGAAAAGGCACAGAAACAGGTTTTTCCCTAGAGCCTCCAGAAAGAATGCAGTCTTGCTGATGCCTTGGTTTTAGACCAGTGAGACCCATATCAGATTTCTGACCCCAGAACTGTAAGAAAATAAGTTTGCGTTGTTTAATACCACAAGTTTATGGTAATGTGTTACAACAGCAATAGGAATTCAATAAAGAAGTCTTTTCTCTTATGTTGTTTTAAAATGGGTAATTGTTAAAATGTATTGTTTCAGTGAGAAATAAGTATAATCACGCCAAGCACAAATGCCTTAATCTCTTTTTCTGGGTTTTTATTATAGTTATTGTTACATTTCAGTGGCTTGTACTAAGCTCCATAGGCTGTGTGAAAAATGGGTGTCCCCAAATTGCTTTATCTAGTGTCAATTAATAACGAATTAATAACACTATGTCTGTCCTTGGTACCACATAGAGAATTTTGCTGATTTCTATGTTATGTCATATATAGTTGTCCTGCTATCTATTACATTGGATTATATTATCTCAGTGCCAGGCAGCTTTGTTTTTTAGAACTGGTTCCTCCTTTCTTGAAAGATAAACTGTTTAATCTCCTTTTCTACTAGGGTGCTGTCCTCTTTCTAAGGCTACCTCTTTAGACATACTTTTCCATTCTCAAAGGTCTTCTCATTTTACTGTGCAAGTTTGTCTCTTGTTATTTAACTTTCAGTTGGCTCAGGTTCCCACTTGGCCTTTGTTTTTACTGTCCTGTCAATAAAGCCCCTAAGCAAACCAGTCCTTTATGCCTCTGGGCCTCTACCCTTCTTGTTCCACATTTGGCCAGATTTCTCCACATAGTTCATGTCTCATATTCCAGTTACACTTAGGATAAAATTTGCAAATATACAGATAAAATTCTGTTCTCTTCCCTAAGGAAAAAAATTGAAAGAACAGCAACAAAATGTTAGACCCAGAGTATAGATGTGAGATTTCTGTTCTAGCAAAGACAAGTTCCACATGCACTTGGAGGTCTCAGTAGGTGATTTGTTTTTGTTTTTTCAAAACAAATTAATGTCAGTTTTATTTAAATAATTTTTTTTTTTTTTTTTTTGCGGTACGCGGGCCTCTCACTGTTGTGGCCTCTCCCGTTGCGGAGCACAGGCTCCGGACGCGCAGGCTCAGCGGCCATGGCTCACGGGCCTAGCCGCTCCGTGGCATGTGGGATCTTCCTGGACCGGGGCACGAACCCGTGTCCCCTGCATCGGCAGGCAGACTCTCAACCACTGCGCCACCAGGGTAGCCCTAAATAATTTTATGTAAGTTTTTTATCATTTATATTTAAAAATTAATTATTTTAAAAGTTGATATATAATTGACTTATAACACTATGTTAGTTTCCGGCGTACAACATAGTGGTTTGATATTTCTATACATTACAAAATGATCACCACTCAGTAGGTGTTTGTTATGGTTCATATCCTAAAAGAAAGGGTTTCCAAGGTTGTTCGGGCAGAGCTTTTGTGAAAGGCAGATGTTTTCTTTCAAAGTTGCTTTTGAAAGCTCTAGAGTTCTGCCCTTGTCATGTGCATCACAATACTATTCTTTAAGCCCTTCTAAGATTAGACCCATTTTTCAAGTGTGAGAACCAACTCTCCTGAACAGTGATTTCCTATGGATTCACTCTCCTTCAATGCCATCCCATCACCTACAAAGAAAAAAAACCTGTCAACTTCAGCATCCCTTGTTTCTACTTCTTGCCTTTCTTTGTCCTTGTCCTTTCACCACTTTCCTCAGTGAATATCTCCTCTCCAGCCATCCTGGGGTCCATGTGGCTTCTTGAACAGGCAGCAAATGCACCTTTATAGCCGGGCCTGTTTGCTTGCAGTGTTTGCTTCCTCCTCCTTCAAGGATGTTCAGACGTCGTATCTATAATCTTCCTCCTTCTCTTTCTCCTTTTAAAAATGTAAAAAATATTCTCGGCTCGGACAGAAACAGGTCACAGGCTGTGCCGAAGGGGCCACTGTAGTTTGCTAACGGATTCCTGCTTTCCCCTTCCCGTATTCAAATCCTACACAGTTTCCAGGCTAAGCCCAAGTTGTTCCTTCTCCAAATCACTTTTTCTTGACTGAGACCATGTCTTTTGGTCTGTTTTGCTCATTGCTCTATCTGGTTCCTAGAACATTGCCTGATACAGGTGAGATGGCCAATAAATATTTGTTAAATATTCAACATAATCTGTCTCTTTGTTTCTCAGTTTATTATCTGCAATATACATCGGGGCATTTAGTAATATATTTTTGTTCAGCTTTTGCTTTCTACCTGTGTGGACTTGGTCAAGTATATTCAACCTCTACTTTGTGCCTCCATTTCTTCATCTGTGAAATGGAGATAACAGCACCTTCCTTATAGAGCTGTTGGGAGGATTAACTTCATTAATAGATGAAACACACTTAAAATAGTACTTGGCACATGGGAAGAGCTACATACATGTTTCATTATTATCAATAACCTTTATTCACATATATTAAGTCAACTAAGGTTCCTGAATCTGTAAGATTGATATTATCTCTTTAGGAGATTTAGTAAATTTGGGGAAAAAATAACTGGTTTTTGAGCATTGATTATGTATTAGGTGTTTTATTTATTTATTTAGGCTGCGCCAGGTCTTATTTGCGGCATGAGGACTCTTAGTTGCAGCATACATGCGGGATCTAGTTGCCCCACCAGGGATTGAACCCAGGCCCCCTGCATTGGCAGTGTGGAGTCTTACCCACTGGACCACCAGGGAAGTCCCTATATATTAGGTGTTTTAAAATCTCATTTATTCTTTTTGAAAATTTGTGCACTGGGTTTGTCAAGTTTAATATGTTCAAAAACAGAATTCCTGATCTCCAGCCCCAAACGTGTTCCTCTCTTAGCTTTTCCTATTTTAGGAAGTAACATCATCTTCCATTATCTTTAATTCTATCTTTCACTCTCCTCATCCTACACATCAGTATGTCATCTTGACTTGTGTAGAAGAGGAAAACGTTTTCCTCAGCCCTCTTAGGGACCCTGGCTAGGTCTGAAAATTTTATATGACATGGGAGCCTTTATAAGGAAATGAAATCTCAAAGAAGAAACAGTTAAACCTATGTGTGTTTAGTACTAGGTTTAATGAAGAATGGAGAGTCATAGAAAAATGTGATAGTTCAAAAAAAGTTCAAAAAAGCTAAGGGTAATAGACTGGGGAAATTTTAGAAAGGCCTGCTTGTTTGGATTTGTCTTAACATCCCTGTCTTGGAGATAAGGATGTTCCTTTCCTCTGGGTATAGGGAGGGCACCTCTCTCATGAGGGCCTTAAGACCTGATTCAGGGGAGGAGGGCTAGGGAAGGTCAGAAGGACTTTCTTGCATCTGTGTTTTCTTCAATTCCTTCAGCCCAAAGTATTCAGTATGCCAAGGCACCATATTTTGGGGTAGTGTGTTCTGAACCCCATCACTTGTCTTCCAAAATATATCTAACTATGACCTTTCCCATTTTTCTTATTCCTTTTTCTAGCACCACTTGTCCAGTCCCTTATCTAGACTACTGAAATTGCCTCCAAATTGATTCCTCTCCACATAGCAGTTGGGATGATCCTTTTAAATAATAATTATAAATTAAATTATATCACTCTTCTGTTTCAAAGTCTGCATGAACTTGCAAACTCCTTATTGCCTATAGGAGCCTCCATGGTTTGACCCCTCCATCTCTGACTTACCTCCTACCACTCTTCCCAGAGCTCTTTCTGCTCTTCTTCCTGCCTCAGGGCCTTTGCACCTGCCATCCTATCTGGAACACGTTTCCTCAGATCTTCAGAGGGTTGATCCCTTCTTGTCAGTCATGTTTCTGAATTCAGCATCACCTCCACAGGGATGCCTTCTGTGTTCACCCAATCTAAAGTACCATTCCCCCAACACACTTAGCACATCTCTTTGTTTCAAAACACTTACCACTATTTGTAGTATAAGATTAATGTGTTTAGTGATTTATTATTGTCTATGTCCCATAGTAAATGTAAGCTCCATGAGAGCAGGACCTTGTTTGTCTTTTCATCCCTGTATCACTGTGCGTTATATTCTCAGACACATAGCAGATAGTCAATAACTACTTGTAAAACTGGAAGAATGAATAAGTGAATCAATGGATGCTCAGATCCATCATACAGTTTACCTCTTAGAAAGGGACATATTTCCTTATTTCCAAATATTGAGGGACTTGGGAGACTGACAACTCATCACACTGGCCAGAGTTAACATAGCCAGTTAGTGGCAGAGTCAAGAGTAAATTCCCACGGGTCTCCTGCTGCTCAGATTCAGCTCTCTTAATGCTTCTTTTGTGTTGGTATGGGATGATCCCTGTGTTGTTTATCTGTGTCATGCATTTTGAGAGATAGTGAGAGTTATATGAGACCATGTTATGCATACTTCTTTTTATCTTGAGCTTTTTTCCCCTCTATTTTGACTCACTTGTTGCATTTCAAAGATCTAACTGTGGGAGGAAGAAGTGGTAAACTCTTTATCAGTCATTGTGGCTGTTTCTTTTTTTTTTTCAATTTTTAAAAAAATTAATTAATTTTATTTATTTTTGGCTGCATTGGGTCTTTGTTGCTTCGAGCGGGCTTTCTCTAGTTGCGGTGAGCCGGGGCTACTCCTCATTGCGATGCACAGGCTTCTCACTGCGGTGGCTTCTCTTGTTGCAGAGCCCGGGCTCTAGGCGTGCGGGCTTCAGTAGTTGTGGCATGTGGGCTCAGTAGTTGCAGCATGCAGTCTCAGTAGTTGTGGCTTGTGGGCTCTAGAGCACAGGCTCAGTAGCTGTGGTGCACGGGCTTAGCTACATTGTGGCATGTGGGATCTTTCCGGACCAGGGCTTGAACCCATGTTCCCTGCATTGGCAGGCGGATTCTTAACCACTGCGCCACCAGGGAAGCCCAGGTCAGTGCTTGTTTGATTTTATTTATTTATTTATTTATTTATTTATTTATTTATTTATTGGCTGTGTTGGGTCTTCATTGTGGCATGCAGGCTTTTCGTTGCAGCGCATGGGCTTCTCTCTAGTTGTGGCGTGCAGGTTTTTCTCTCTCTAGTTGTGGCGCGGGCTCCAGAGCACGTGGGCTCTATAGTTTGCAGCACGTGGACTCTCTAGTTGAGGCTCACCAGCTCAGTAGTTGTGGCGTGCGGGTTTAGTTGCTCCATGGCATGTGGGATCTTAGTTCCCTGACCAGGGATCGAACCCGTGTCCCCGGCGTTGGAAGGCAGATTCTTTACCACTGGACCACCAGGGAAGTCCCAGTGCTTGTTTGATTTTAATAACCTTATTAACAGCCAGAGATTTTAATGAAAACCCTCGTGAAGAAGTGCAGGGGGGTAACTGGAAGGATTGTGAACACTTGGCTTTAGGAAAATTCCTGGTAGTCATCTCTGCGAAACTTGGGCCTCCCACTACAGAGGGAACCACAAGTCCTGCCCTGATAATTGTGGTTTTATTATGGTTATTAACAGCATTCACTCTCCATTCAAAAATATTGGCTGGGGGGCTTCCCTGGTGGTGCAGTGGTAAAAGGAACTTTGGCTCTTTGCCCAGTTTATAATTTTGAATTTGCAAGTTTTTGTGAGGATTTATAGAGTCATCAATTCAGAACAGTAACTCTATCTTCTTCATAAACTCAATCAAATCATGTAACTAATGACCAACTAACTTTTTTTTTTTAAGTCAAAGAAGAGAATAATGGCCCTGCCTTTTGGAGAGGCAAAAAGCCTAAAAGTTTGAATGAATCCCTTTTCAGGTGAGATTGTTGTTTTATGTTTTTAACTTGCTGTCCAAAACTTATTTTACATTTCAATTGGCTTTTTAAAAAAACATTATTTATTTTATTTATTTATTTTTGGCTGCTTTGGTTCTTTGTTGCCGTGCGTGGCTTTTAGTTGCGGCGAGCAGGGACTACTCTTCATTGCAGTGCACGGGCTTCTCATTGCGGTGGCTTCTCTTGTTGCGGAGCACAGGCTCTAGGAGTGTGGGCTTCAGTAGTTGTGGCACGTGGGCTCAGTAGTTGTGGCACGTGGGCCTAGTTGCTCCACAGCATGTGGGATCTTCCTGGACCAGGGCTCGAACTCGTGTCCCCTGAATTGGCAGGCGGATTCTTAACCACTGCGCCACCAGGGAAGCCCTCAACTGGCTTTTTAAAATGCTTTTTCTCTACTAATGTCTTTGAGCTGAATTCTGTTTATCTCATGTACGTAATAATGAAGAAGGTATTTTGTGAGATTTTCTTCTAAATTCAAATCCAGTTAGTTATAAACTATAATTTTTCTCATTTCAATTGAATATACAGATGTCTCAGTATAAATAAATGATTAAAATCAAATTCAAATCATTTATTGAACTCTGGTTCTGTGTAGTGGTATGCTGGGCCCTGTAATAGATACAAAGATGAGTAAGACATAGTTCCTATCCTTGAGAGGCTGATTCTCACCAGGACATATGACATTTGCGTAAATAAAGATACTGCAAAGTATGCATGCTAAGTGTTATGACTGAGTTTGAACAAATTGTCAAAGAGATTTAATGAGGGGAAAGGTCTTATTCGGTTGTGGGGAGAAGTCAAGATGCCAGATGACAGTCGGTGAAGGAATGGTGCACATGGTGATAGAGATATTGCAGTTGGAGGGAACAGTAGAAGCTACGGTAGAGGCAGGAAAAAATGGAACATGTATAAATTGAAAAAGGAGTTTCCTAAGATGCATAACTCAAAGTATGATTCTATTACACACTTTAAGTATCTAGACATTAGGAGGAAGGGAGCATAGGATTCTAAGAGCTCTGAGTCAGGGGATTATAGGCATGGGGAAAATTAAGGTGCATTGGGGCCCTGAAAGTCAGGTCATGACATGGGGGAAACAGCCCCCAGGAAAACATTGCAAAATGTGGAAAGAAAAAGTGAACGCCTACTTGGAGAGTATTCACCCCCAAGACCTGTGGTGTACCATGCTGTGCAATGGGTTACTGGGGAGGGGCCTTTTCCCACTGTACTTATTCTCATACCTTCTCTCACTGAACAGTGACATACAAAGGTCTTTTAAACTAAATTTTATTAACTTTTTTTGTCACCAAAAAAAAAAAAAAATTGTTTTAGGAAGCCTGGCTTGTATCATTAGGCTTAGAGGATCATGATTTGTTCTAAATCCATGTAATAACAAGCTATGTTTTAAGGGGTTGATACACTTCCATTGTTACCCTGAGCGCCATAAATTACCAGCTTCCGGGAGGAGGGTCTCTGCCTTCTTGTCTCAGGGCACTAAGTGAAGTTCCCAACGTGGCCCTTGTAACTGGAAGTACTGAGGGAGAGGCACTGCCAGTGGGTAGCCATCCACATGCTCTGAGATTCAACATTCATTTCACATTTGGCATATAATGCCCCAATTTTTCTAGACCACTCTGATAGCCTCATTGTTTTCTTCCAGTTTAGAAAAATAAAAGAGATTTCTAAGTAATGTATGCAGTAGCTGTTTTAGGTTATTGTGGAGATCAGAACTCTTTTAAAAGTGGCAGAAGTCCAACTTAGGTTAAAAGGGGAATTTATTGGAATTACAGGGCAATATTGGAATTAGAGGGCAACTCATGTTATTCAACGTTCATTCAGCAGATATGTACAGATACAGACATAAATATAGATACAAATGTAGATCTATCTATTTTACCTGTTAAATCTGACATATTCTATTTGCTGGGCTCTTCAATTTTAGATGTACAGTGGTGAGCAAAATCAGCAAAAGTTAGAAACCACAACTTAGGAAAGTAGGAATGCTAAGAATGAAGTCGGACTTAGGCATAGCTGGAACTTGGGACTTGAATGCCATAGAACTTTGTCTCTGTCTCCTCTGATGTGTGTGGATCAGCTTCATTTTCTCTCACTGAATGCCACGTCTTCTGTGGGACAGCAAAGTCACCAACTGTCTTAAATTCACTTTTTACTTCTCCCACCACCACACAAAGGCTAACTCACACACTTTCTCGTACCAAATTAAAAAATCCTGGGAAGGTCTCTGATGCCTAACTTGAATAAACGACTGACTGCTAAAAAAATATCCACCATAGCCAAGAGGTTTAAAAACATGGCAGCTTCTGCGTGCTCCATGTGTGGAGAGGAGGACTGATTTCCAAATAAAGTGGGGGTGGTGGAGTTAGGTCTGCTATCCCATAGTTTTCTAGTACTGTCGTCTTCATAATTAAACATCTGAGTCAAAAGTGTAAACAAAAGGCAGGCTACCATAAACACTAATTAGAGGGCTAAAGAATGTTATCATGTACAGAGCTTTGTGACACCTCTGAGGTGTAAAGTTTTAGGCCTAATTATGAGAAGCTGCAGGTCATAAGAAGGATGCAGTTATCTTGGGACATCACACTTACATAAATATGATTACTTTTCAAGCTAATAGTGAACAACAGGCCTTTTAACACCTGAGAGATAGAAAACAGACTGGTGATGATCTCTGATAATGAGATTCAGTACTTTGGTTTCTCTGTCTTTAGTATAGCTCTTCATTAGTGCATAGTTCCATGTAGTCATGCATTTTACAGGAGAAAACCCAAGCAGATATCTAACCAAAATGTTCTCTAAGGAAAAGTTTATTGTGACTTACTTAAGAATCCCCTAAAGCTGGGAGGAAAAAGACTGCCTATTGCTTGCACGTATAAAAAAAACATACAGATCAATAGAACATTTTTACAGTGCTGGCATAGAGTAAGATTTATGTAAATTTAATTGCATTCACCTTGAATAATCCAAAGGAAAAGAGTGAAAATGCTTAGCCCTCAGTCCAGATCTGCTAAGCTCATACCCACCAGGGTGGATTTCAATCTGAGTTTACATCTATTTATAGCCTCTACTGATATTTAGCTAATGAAAACTTAAAATTAAGCAGATTTTCTAACCATAGTGCATGGCAAGTAGTGGGATGAACTTTTGGAGAAACCAATGTTTAATTAATAGAATCAGAGCTGACCACCTTGGCATCCTTATGAAATGAGAATGTATTGCATTTAATTGTATATCATTAGCAAAATAGAAGGGAAAAAAAACAACAAAGAAGGTGAACCTTATATTCTTCTCTAAGAAGAAGCACTTCTTGGCAGAAAGTAGAAAAAGGGAGCTGTTTTGTTCTTCTCTGCATAGTAGATAAAAACATAAAGGCTCTGTAGCCACACTGGCTGACTTCAAATCTGGACTCTACCTTAGACTATTTAACCTTCCCAGGCTTCACTCCTCATGGGTAGGATGGGGCTCACAATGGTACATATCCACAGGGATGATATGTAAAGGGCTAAGTCATGTACAGTTGACCCTTGAACAACACAGGTTTGGACTTTGAGGGTCCACTTATATGCAGACTTTCTTCAATAGATACATACGACAGTCCTACACAATCCTTGGAAACGGAACCTTGGATACAGAGGGGTGAACTGTAAAGTGTTATATGCTGATTTTCAACTGTGCAGAGGATCAGTACCCCTAACCCCACATTGTTCAAGGGTCAACTGTACATGTAAAGTGCTTAAACTGTGTGTGGCACTTAGTGAGTCCCTATTAAACTTAGCTCTTTCGTTTTTGCAAAGTCAGTCACTGAGCAATAATCTATTTAGCATCCTCAGAATCCTTGATCAAGCCTTGAAACAGAATAACTTTCCTCTTTTCTCTTCTCCCTAATAAATACTACGGTATGTAAAAAATAAAAATGCTATTGTGCAATAATTTGGCACGAGGCACCATCTGTATTAATTTCCTAAGGATTTCTTATGCGGTAGGTTGCTGTACTTCTATTAGAGGACCAAGTCCTGTGTTTATGTAAATATACTTTGTGTGTAAGTATATGAATTCAGAATGTTTAGAAACTCAAGAGAAGGATTCAAGGCCTCCAGTAGCTGTTCTTATAATAAGCCCTTATTTCTTGATATTTCTCAAAATTGACACTGCAATTATTATTATATGCAATTATTATTAGATCATAGTTTATAATTATTAACAAATATTCATTGATCAGTTACAGATTTATAAAAATACAAAAAATATTGAGGGTTGGGGTAGAATCAGTATTGATTTTTCTCCCCCTTACTCTCTTCCATCCTGTTTGAAAACTTTCCTGGGACATATACTCAGGAGCAGAATTGCTTTGTACATTCTACTAATATACATTATACGAATCAGCTTATTGGTTTTAGAGATTAAAAATACCTCATCCCATATTGTCAACTACCTATTAGCTTATTCTATGTGGTGTCTTCTACTGAGTAGAATTTTAATTTTGATGTAATAAAATTAATTAAGTTTTTAATTCTGGTCGAGGTGGAGTAAGCACACTTTGCCCTACCTCTCCCTCTGAATGGAAGTAAAAATCCTGAACAGAATGCACACAGCAGTTGATTGCCTGATTTAAAAAAATAATAATAACATTCTACATAGAATTTAAATAAGACCCAGAGTCAACAACAGCTATAAACTAAAATCTGTTTTAGCTGAGTCACATGTATTTGATGTATATTGCCATTCAGTTCTAAATATCTCTTAATTTCCTTTATCACTTACAGCAGTTTGATTATGATATGTCTGGTGTGGAATTCTTTGAGTTTATCCTACTTGGGATTCACTCAGTTTCTTGAATCTATAAGTTTGTGTCTTTTGCCTAATTTGGAGAGTTTTCAACCATTATTCCTTCAAATATTTTTTCTGTACCACTCTTTTTCCTCTCCTTCTGGGACTCTGAAGACATGAATATTAGGTCTTTTTCATATTGTCGCACAGTCCCTTGAGAATGTGTTCATTTTTTTCTTCAATCTCTATTCTCTCTGGATTGTTCAAATTGGATGATTTCTATTCCTCTATCTTCAAAATTCAATGACTCTTTTCTCTGTCATCTCTACTCTGCTCACTGAGTCCATTCAGAGAATTTAAAAATTTTTAGTTATTGTAGTGTATTTTTTCCTCCTAAAATTTCCATTTGGTTCCTTTTTATATTTGCTATTTCTCTGCTGAGACTTTCTGTCTTTCCATTTGTTTCAAAGGGGTTCACTCTCATTTATTGGAGCATGGTTATGATGGTTACCTTAAAGCTTTTGTCTGATAATTCCAACATCTTTTTCATCTCAAGATTGATATCTGTTAATTTTCTTTTTCTTCATAAGGTATTGAGATTTTCCTGGCTTTTCAAATGTCAAGTAATTTTGGATTGTGTCTGGGACATTTTGAATATTATGTGACTCTGGGTCACATGAAGAGTTTGGTACTGGTCTCTGCCAGCCTCTTGATTACACTTAAATATCTGAGAATTATTTTCTAGCTTTGAATTATTTTACATAGAATTGCTTATATTTCACCAATTCTGCTTTAGTAGAGTCTTCATGGGGAATTTTTTATTCAGGAGAGCTCAAATTCTACATCTTGAGATCTAGGTCTATATGTTTCTTTTTATGGAAGAATCATTGTTCCTTATTGTTCTGCTTGTTTCTTATATTTTAGCACATTAATCTGACAATTTCGGTCTGATAGGTGTTTTACTTTCCCCGTTTTCATATTTACTTAACTTCTTTCTCATCCTTTTTAAGAGTTTTAAAAATCAATGATTTTTTTCTATTCCATTTTAAAACTCTTAAAAAGGATGAGAAAGAAGCTAAGTAAATTCTATTTGCCATTTTTCTTCATTTCTTGATAGAGTCAATATGCTAGTATATACGTACTTTGCATTCTTAGCTGTACTTTGCATCTAACAGATTTTTCTGAAGCTGTTTAATGTTGCCTGCTGCTTTTTGGACTCTGGCTTTTAACCTGACAGTTTCAGCCTCAAGGAGTTTATCTGTGTTTGATGCAGAGGGAGAAAGGAGAAAAACGATTTGTGCATACTTTTGATTCTGGAGTTCTCTTTCCCAGTTCTCCCATTGCTTTCTCCTTTGTGGTGGCTCTCTCTAGAGATACGTAATCAGCTCATTAGAAAAACACTTGACTTTTAGCAACTTAGTTGTGTAAATGTTGAGTTGACACATGTTGAAACTCAAGGTTCTAAAACTCTTGCTTAGTAATGAACTACTCTTTAATCAGACTACTAAAAGTGGGTATTATTGAATTACATGTGAAAAATACAGTTCAACTTTATGAGTTGGTTTGCTTCACTGGTGAAACTATAATGTCCATGACATTTTAACTTATGCTGTCAAAAAGGTAATCCTTTTTAGAAACTCTTTTAGCTCTTTAAAATAATTTTTCATACAACTGAGTAAATAACAGTCACTTCAAGTGTGCCTTTCTGTAACTACCTGAAATCATTTTGCTGACCTTTCACATGAAACATATGTTGTGCCTAAAATGAACATTGTAACATAATTTCATAACATTACCTAACATAATCTGTGCACTGGTTAGTTAACTCTCTTAATTTCCATAGAGAAAATGTTAGAAAATATCATCTACAAGAATAAAGAAAAGCTATCACTTTCAAGAGGATTGGAGTACGTATCATCCATTTCTGGGCTACACATGTTCATTGACCTGAAAATCCTATATGAGCACCTTATATTCTTAGATACTTCGATATCATTGTTACATAGTACTAGAATCCTATAAAGAAATAGGGCAAGGTAAGATAATCAGTAAGTGGCATTTAGAGATTATGGGTCATATACATTAATTTGTTTAGTTGTGTGTTTAAAATCTGGCCATGTCATGTGCCACTCCCCAGGGCAAGAAGAGTGCAGGAAGGAGGGGGTGCTCGTACACTCTCTTTCCTGATCATGCTCTGGGACCACAGTGCCAGTGTGCACATCCTTAAGCCTGAGGGTTTGGCAAGGATGGCTGTTTAAGGGGGATGGAACTTGGATAAATGAACTGAGGTGAGCACTTGTGTATGTGTGTGTGTGTGCATGCATGCGTGTACACGTATGTAAGGTCAGTGGAAGAGGGAGCTGAGGGCTGGAACTCAGCACAGTTCATAGCATTGTACAGATGATGAATGAATTTTATACCTGTTTAAAGTTAAGAACTAATAAAAGCAAAGTGGTTTTCCACTTTCACGGAGGTGCCAGTCTCATAAGGAAGATAAGATATCTTAATGTAAAATGATAAACCAGCAATTCAAGGCAATATAGGATAATATTAATCCCTAGCACCTACTGAGTGTTTCCAGTGTTAAAAAACACTGCATGTATTTTCTTACTTAATCCTCACACAAACTCAATGAAATTGGTTCTATTATTGTTCCTATTTTAAAATTAGGAAATTGAGGCTTAGGTCAATCTAAGTCACATAACCACTGAGTGGCAGAGCCTGGATTAGAACTTAGATCTCATACTCTGCAACTTCTTAGCCTCTACCACTTGCTTCCTTGTGTTGCAGAGAAAAGAAATGAGTCATGGTGAGCTGGAGAGAACAGAGAAGGTAAAAGATGGGACCCAGAATTGGTTCTGAAAAAAGTGCTGATGCTATTGGGATGCTATTGGAAAAATCAGAGAGTGTTAGCAAAATATGAATCAAAGAAAACACCATTTAAAAAAAATCTCTCTCCCCCCCAAAAAATAAATAAAAATAAAAAAATCTCTCTTCATCTCTCCATATGAATAGTTCTTTTTTCTTTATAGGATCCATTAGAAATGCAAGATGAAAGAACAATCAAGTTTCAAAACTAGAATGAAAAGTCCTTTCACTGGGAATGTTGGGCTCTGTGAAGGACAGGCATAAGGCTTTAGATATAAAAAATGCTTCTTTAAATGACATAGCATAGAGTTTTATTTCTGAAAGCAGGAGTATATACTGAAGAATTGTGCCATACCTCCTCTAGGTCAATGGTCAACAGCAGGTGAGAGTAAATCACTCCTTTCTCTTACAAGCATTTCTTTTATGTGAAGACTTTTACTTTCAGACTCTTAAACTGCTGCAATGGGGCCATTGGTTTCTCTTTGTTCCTTACTGTTAAATTCTGAATATTATGTTTAACTCTAAATTCTACCTGACAGGTACCACCAAGAGAGCAGCACACCACCATCCAAGGACTCAACTCTTGGCCCTCCTTCAGACCTCAAGAAGCTGTCCCTTCATGGCCAAAGTGCCTGTCCAGGAGGAGCTGTCAGCCCACATCAGCCACTAGCAAGGCTGTCGGTGTGCCATTTTGCACCACAAACACAAAAGAACCCCAGGGACTTTCAGATCACAAAGACTCTCTAAGTGAAATCCCTTTCAAGTCAGTGGGAACGGAAATGAGTTTTACTTAGGAAATTCCTCCCTGGCCTCCCCTTTACAGAGTAACCCAAACCTAGAGAAAAAGGAGTCAAAACTTCATTAGTACATTATTTCCACAACTTCATCAATATTTCTGCACTTAGAAAGTTCATGGAACAATTATGTTATAGTAAATGTCCTCCTAAGTTAACCTTGACTTGACTTTGGTTTTTTTTGCGGTACGCGGGCCTCTCACTGCTGTGGCCTCTCCCGTTGCGGAGCACAGGCTCCGGACGCGCAGGCTCAGCGGCCATGGCTCACGGGCCCAGCCGCTCCGCGGCATGTGGGATCTCCCCGGACCGGGGCACAAACCCGCGTCCCCTGCATCGGCAGGCGGACTCTCAACCACTGCACCACCAGGGAAGCCCTTGAGTATTGTTTTTTAGGGTAGGCTTCCCTGCTCTTCCTCCCCATTTTGGAAGTTTAACCTTCGAATTTAGTAATATTGTGCAAGACATAATGCACTGGACAATTAAGGATATGATTTTACCAGGCTATTGCAATAGGGAAAATGCTCATTAATGAGACATGTCTTCAAGAAAAGGAGATGGATCTGAGGTTTTATAGAGGCAGGTAATAAACAAGGGAGTCAGCAGTGAGTCTCATGGGAATCAATGAGGAAGGTTGGAGACAAGTCTTATCTTGGAATATTTGTGAGCAGGGTGGTCTTTCGCAGTTAGCTGGGGGTGATTTCTCAACCATTCTGCTTTCAGAGACCAGGGAGCTCAGATAAAGTTCAACAGTATCAATATGTTTCTGTATTTCTTAGCTGTGCTATTGAAAGTAGGTTAGTGGGAGTTTTTGACTTTAAAAAAAAAAGCACAACATGAGATTTGTGAGTTAAGTTTTATTTGGGCAAAATGATGACTATAGCTCGGGAGACAGCATCTCAAATAGCTCTGAGAGGGCTTCCCTGGTGGCGCAGTGGTTGAGAGTCCGCCTGCCGATGCAGGGGACGCGGGTTTGTGCCCCGGTCCGGGAAGATCCCACATGCCGCGGAGCGGCTGGGCCCGTGAGCCATGGCCGCCAAGCCTGCGCGTCCGGAGCCTGTGCTCCGCAACGGGAGAGGCCACAGCAGTGAGAGGCCCGCGTACCGCAAAAAAAAAAACCCAAAAAACAAAACAAATAGCTCTGAGAAACTGCTCCAAATAGGTAGCGGGGAAGGTCAGTATATATATGATTTTGGTGAAAGGGGAGTACATGCAATCTAGCACATATTTTTTGCAGAAGGTTTCTGCTAGTCTTGTGAAGGTTACTGCTAGTCACCAGGAGCAGACGTCATGAAGGATTTTAGTAGTGCTTTTCTAGATATGAGGAGATACAAGAACTGGGCTCATAAAATTGGCTCCTGAAAATATCTAACTATCTGAAGACCTGTTCTGCCAGTTTTTCCCCGAGCACAGCGTGCCTCATTTCTGCTCTCCACCCAGAACTCCTTTCAGGGGGTGTTGAAAAGTTAGCAGCTGCAGCAGCACATGATTTAATCCTTGTAAAGGCAGATGGCAAGTGCCGACGGCAGGTGCCAATTTGTAGTTGACAGACTCATTGTCATAAGATCAGATGATTTTATAGAGATCACCTGGTCTATGTCCCTTATTTTATAAACGAGGAGACTGAAGCACAAAAATTCTACGTGACTTACTCAACATTATATAATAAGTGTAGGGGCCGAGTCAAAACTCCCATTTAGGGATCTTCTTATAACACCAGAATCAGTTTTAAAATAAGCAATTTATTAAAAGAATAGTATGACCCTTTTTACTTATCTTCAGTGATACATAATTTTTATTATTGATCTTCAACATAATAATGTTAAGAAGTATGAAAGACTCTTTTCACTCAGAAGAAGCTAGGAAGGAGGGGGTTTTATAAGTGGCCAAAAATTGTGAAAGGTTGCAAGACAACTCTCATTTTTTTCTCATAGCACAGTTTAGAATGTTATTGTTTAAATTAAATGTTAAATGTTTAAAATTCCTCTCTAAAATTTTAAACCGCTTTCTCCAAATTAAGAATGTAAGTGAATCATGAATAGAGGGAAAATCCTGATCTATTAAAAGAAGGCTTCATATGTTCTAATAGAAAAACCACAATTTAATTGACTTCTAAAAATCTACCTAAATATTTCAAAATAACTGTTTAACTAACTCCCAGTTTTAAGTACTACTTTTAAATTCTGCAGCAAAGGCATGGATGGGGTAAGTCAGATAGGCCAACTCATAGCCCTTCTGATACTATAAGCAATAACAAACAAGTAATGTGTAGTGTTATTATTGGTAGGAACTGTTCTGATGCTTTCTGTATATTAACTCATTTAATCTGTACAACAGTCCTATGAGGTAGGACTGTTATTCTCATCTCATAGATGAGGAAATTGAGGCACAGGGAAATTAAATGATATATTCAAGGTTGTACAACTAATATAGAGCTGGGATTTGAACCCAGACAGTCTGCTTTTTTTTTTCTATGACCACTGAAATAATGTGGATGGAGGGGGGTTATCTTTATGAGTTGTCAGATATTATCATTGAAAACAATGTTCTGGGAATTCCCTGGCGGTCCAGCAGTTAAGACTCCGTGCTTCCACTGCAGGGGGTGTGGGTTCTATCCCTGGTCGGGGAACTAAGATACTGCATGCCTCGCGGTGCAGACCAAAAAAAAAACCAATGTTCTATCCCTTGAAGGATGAAAAATGAGTAAGCAAATATTTCATATATAAATGATGAATCTATCAGGTTAGCATTCATTCTAGTGAGAATAAGATATTAACAATATAAACATTTTAAAAGTTGTGACTTTTTTGTGACATTGTTGAAGTCTTTCATTAGGTTGGTCACCTTTGGTTAGTCTTGGCTATCTTCATAAGTTTTAGGAAATGGACAAAAATAATCTCCTAAATCTGTCAGAATTATCTTGGGTAATTGCTCTCTTGTGCCTTGAGATTTCTTTCATGTTGAGGTATGGATAAATGCTCCTGGGAAAAGGAATTAGACATCTTAACTCTCTGTATACTTTCAGGTAAAATTAACCTAAACCATCCAGTTAGAAATTAGCACTCATTCTGATTTTAAAGGTTTCCAAAGAGTTGTCCTTGTCAGTAACCCATTTTATCTGTAACTTTCACCAAAAGTAATTACATCTGCGTTGTTTAGCATCTCAAATTCTACAAAGACAAAACATGGCAATTCTTTGCCCTTCATACATTGTGGAATAACTGCTAGAAAGCTAAATAACGAATATCCTCAAATTAAAATTCTAGATTTAAGGCAAGCATAAACATTTGGAGAGAAAAGAAAAGGCAGCTTTTTTTTTTAAACATAAAGCAATGACAAAAATAGTAAGAAAAAGTACATAATTCCCCCCTACACACCCACCCACCACCCTACTCTTATTAAGGAATAAGACAGGAGTTGTTTGGAGTTGTAAATCAGCAACATTTCAGAAATTCCTTCTGACCTGTTAAGCCTCAACATTAATAAAAAATTATTACACTACATGCCAATTTGTTTCAAGACCCAGTATGAGCGGGAAGTGGCAGCACTAAAGATTTAAGGAAAAAATAACCCCATTAATGGGGGAATAGTTAACAAAATTATTGTATATCTCGGCTATGTAATACTGGGTAATCATTATTAAAAAGACTGAAGTAAATCTATATACGTAGACATGAAAAACTGTCCACCATATATTAAGTGAAAAAAAATCCAGATTAATATGTGATATAATGTAGTATTTAAATACATATTATAAAAATATATCATCTAACATGTAAATATTATAAATGTATATGTTATAATTAACATGTTTTTATATGCCTGAAAGAATATAAACCAAACTAACAACAGTAAGGTGTTTTGAATATTGAGACAGAAAGGGTAGGGAGAGATAGGGAACTTTTATCATTTACTTTTCTTTTCTGTACTGTTTTATTTTGATAGATTATTCTATTTTATAATGAACAAATGCTATGTTTAAAACTTTAAAAAAACTATATAAGGAAAAAATTCCCTGTAGTATTATCAAATACTGGAATGAGTTACAAATCATGTACTGTAGAAGGGATTAAAGAATAGATATATGATATTGACTAAAAGTAGTGGGAATTGATTTTTCAGTAAACAAAAATTCTAACTATTCCCACTTTTTTTCCTCTTTCAGAAAGTTACTCTTTTACAAGATCCCCTATATGTTAGTGAGCTCAGTCCTGCTACTGGAAGTCAAAAGCCATGTAGGTGGGCTTCCCTGGTGGCGCAGTGTTTGAGGGTCCGCCTGCCGACCCGGTCTGGGAAGATCCCATATGCCGTGGAGCGGCTGGGCCTGTGGGGCATGGCCTCTGGGCCTGCGCGTCCGGAGCCTGTGCTCCTCAGGGGGAGAGGCCACAGCGATGAGAGGCCCGCGTACCGCAAAAAAAAAAAAAAAAAAAAAAAACCACCCCCCCCCCCCCAAAAAAAAGCCATATAGGTAAGGAGTGATGACAGAACAGAGTTGCACGGCAGGGTGTTCGCCCTCTTTGCCTCTCCTAACTCTATGTGATGCTGACCATCACATTTATATCTACATCTCTTCTCGCCCTGAATTGCAAAGACAATTACGCACTGGATATCACTTCTTGTATGTTTCACAGGAGCCATAACGTCAGCATATTCAAAACAGACTCAGCCTCTTCCTTCTGTGACCTGAACTTCCATCTGTGTTTCCTAAACAGGGCATGATGTCATTATCTCTAGACAGCCTAAGCCAGAGTCCTGGATCCCGAGATCCCCATCCCCTAATCCAGTCATCACCACATGATTTACTGTACTTATTGAATATATCTGGATAACACCCACTTCTTTCTACTGCCACATGCTCAGATCCAATTATCTGTTCTGGGCTCTGACAGTATTTTCCTGGCTGGCCTCTGCCTTCACTCTTGCCCCTCTCTAGACCATTCTTCAATACAACAGAGGAACCTTTCAGAAGTACAAACGTGATCATGGAACTCCTCCCTTAAAGCCTTTCCATAGCTCCCCATTGCCCTTAGAAGGTCTACACTCTATAACAGCTTTTTACAAATCTTCCTGATGTCTCTATTGTGTCCTCCACACTCCTGCCCTAAGCTCCTGATCCAAATGAACTCATAGCTCTCAAAGAGCTCCCTGTTAATCTGGGCCCTAACGTGATGGCCTCTATTCTAGAACCCTACTCTCTTCTCTTCTTCCCCTTCATAGAAACTTCAGCTCCTCAAGTCTTAGCTCACTATCCCTTTGTCTAAAAATCAGTTCTCAAGACTAAGTTGAGAGGGTCCCTCCATAACGTCCTGTGCTTACATATCTGTAGCACTGTCCACTCTGTATTACGGATTGCTTGTTTATGTGCTGCCCTATTATGCAATATGCTCCTTAAGGGCAGGGACTGTTCCTCGGTCACTGGCACATAGTAGGCTGCCAATAAACCTTTATACAATGAATGAATGAATGAAATAAGATAGAGGCTGGGACCTTATATGCAAGGCAAAGGAGTTTGGATTTTATCCAGACTTCATACTTCTATTATGTTCTTATCATAGTCAGCCTTACATTGAAGTAGTTACTTGTGATGTGACGATTACTTCCAATAGACTGTGAGCCCCTGGAAGGCAAGGAGTATGTCTTATTAATTTTCGTATTTTTCTTACTTAAAACAGTGCTTTGTACTTAGAGAGCACTCTGTCAATTGATGGTGCCAATAATTTTGATATTAAGTAAGTCATGAGTGACTTTTGAGAGGTTTACGATAGTGACGTATATTGGAGGTGATGTAAGTGAACTAAGGGAAAGTTTAATTTTAAAAGATACAATTCATTCCCCATTAAAGGGAACCAAAGTTCCTTGGAAGAATGACTGATTCTAGGTCTGGGGTAGGAAATATACAAATGAGTCTGAAACAGCTTGTGGCAGAATGCAAAGAGTAACGGGGCTCAAACTAAAGGACACAGGAGCCCACATGAAGGGCCTCCTGATAGCCAAAGATGGAACAAATCAAGAATCAGAAAAAATAATGAATGAGATAGTTAAAACATAACGAATATATAAAAATTCCAAAGTGTATAATGATGCATCATAGAGAGAAAGTCCTCCCTCCTACCCTCCCCCACCCGGTTAAGAAATAAAAATGTACTGAACTCCGTTAGAAGTAAATAGGGCACTAATTCATTTTTCTGCAAATCAGCAAACAAATGGAAAGAAAGAATTAAGCATTTATCCTGCCTTTCCTGCATAAACTGTAATTAGGTCAGGGTAACCAAGTAGCCCAAGTTGATGAGAGCAAATTCCATTTTACAGAATTCCAGCTAATGAATGTGGGAGGTTTAACAGAATTAGAAAGCTACCATTTTTTAACCTCTGATGAAATAATAGATTCATGCAAAGATCCTCAGTGGATGGAACCATCAGACAGAAAGGTGAAGTGGAATTTGAAAATGGAGGGTTCATGTAAATAACTAAACACTGATCAGTCTTAGAATCACTTAAGTGGGATGCTATAATGGAGCACTTAAAAATTATAAAATGCCTCATTATTTGATGTAACATGAAACACATAGCACCACCTATGACATATCTTTGTTCAAACAATTAAACTGGAATCTGACTTAAAAGTGTGGGTGTGTCAGCCTTGAGAAGGAATGAAATTCTGATACATGTGACAACATGGATGAGGCTTGAAGAACGTATGCTAAGTTAAATAAGCCAGTAGTAAAAGGACAAATATTATATGGTTCCACTTATATGAGGCACCTAGAATAGGCAAATTCACAGAAACAGAAAGCAGAATATAGGTTACCAGGAGCCATGGAGAGATAGGAATGGAGACATTGTTTAATGGATGCAGAGTTTCTGTTTGGGAAGATGAAAAAGTTCTGGAAATGGATAGTAGTGATGATTGCACAACACTGTGAATGCACTTAATGCCGTTGAATTGTACACCTGAAAATGGTTAAAATGGTAAATTTTAGGTTATGTATATTTTATCTCAAAATTTTAAAAGGTGTGTGTGTGTGTGTGTGTGTGTGTGTAAGGGAATAGATAAAACAAGACTGGCAAAATGTTGAAAATTACTGAAGCTAAGTGATGGGTATGTGAGGGTTTCTTATAAGACTTTCTCCATTTTTGTGTATGTTTGAAAATTTCCATAGTAGAAGTTTTTAAAAGATCTAAGAAACATAGCAAACAAATATAGCAATTATCTTATTTAGATCTTGGTTTTAATGAACCAAATATAAAAAGGCATTTTTAAGACAAGAGAGAACATTTGAATATGGACTAGGTATTAGACAATACCATAGAATTATTGATAGGTTTGTTGGTGTGATAATGATGATTTTGCAAGGAAATGTTCCAGTTATTTCGAGATACGTTCTGAGTTATGTAGGGGTTAAATAGCATAATGTTTGGGATTTCCTTTTTTAAAATTAATTAATTTGGCTGTGCTGGGTCTTAGCTGCGGCACTCGGGATCTTCGTTGCAGCATGCAGGCTCTAGTTCCCCAACCAGGGATGGAACCCGGGCCCCCTGCATTGGGAGTGTGGAGTCTTAACCACTGGACCACCAGGGAAGTCCTGGGATTTCTTTTTTTTTCTTTCTTTTTTTAAAATTTATTTTATTTTTGGCTGCGTTGGGTCTTCGTTGCCGCATGTGGGCTTTCTCTAGATGCGGTGAGTTGGGGCTACTCTTTGTTGCGATGCACGAGCTTCTCATTGCAGTGGCTTCTCTTGTTGCGGAGCACAGGGTCTAGGTGCACAGGCTTCAGTAGTTGAGGCTCGCGGGTTCTAGAGCGCAGGCTCAGTAGTTGTGGCGCACAGGCTTAGTTGCTCCGCGGCATGTGGGATCTTCCCGGACCAGGGCTTGAACCTGTGTCCCCTGCATTGGCAGGCGGATTCTTAATCACTGCACCACCAGGGAAGCCCAGTCCCGGGATTTCTTTTTTTAAAAGATGATTATACAGATAGCTTAGAATTTCTACATGTTTTCTTATGTTTATTCTAAAAAAAAAGTATCAGTTTTAATTTTGGTACTATATTATGTAAAGTGATTTTAAAGCTAATTGTATAATAAAAACAGGCTTTTACTTTGTGTGGCTTGAAATTTATCCCTGAAGGCAAGGAGGGTTCTGCCACTATCCTGACTCAGGAAAAGCATATTTCTTGTAAAGTTAATTTCTGAAGGCAACATGTTTAAAGTGTAGTAATTTAATGCACCATGAAGGATGCAAATATATGCACAAGATACATAGGAAATAGTCTGTGCCTACAAGGCACCTTCAGTTTATTAATTAATTTATTTATTTTTGCTGTGTTGTGTCTTCGTTTCTGTGCGAGGGCTTTCTCTAGTTGTGGCAAGCGGGGGCCACTCTTCATCGCAGTGCCCGGGCCTCTCACTATCGCGGCCTTTCTTGTTGCGGAGCACAGGCTCCAGACGCGCGGGCTCAGTAGTTGTGGCTCACGGGCCCAGCTGCTCTGCGGCATGTGGGATCCTCCCAGACCAGGGCTCGAACCCGCGTCCCCTGCATCAGCAGGCAGATTCTCAAGCACTGTGCCACCAGGGAAGTCCTTCAGTTTAAAAGAAGTAAATATTCTTTGGGTTTTCAAATTAGGATTTTGTCACAGTTGTGAGTTCTGTAATCTGACCATTGTGAACATATACACAGAGCTTCTGAGATAATGTATGAAAAACCATACCAGCTGTAAAGCATTATTCAAATGTAAGGTATTACTGATATTAAATGTCTGGAAAAATGAAAAAAATAGTAAAAATAGAGCTTATCATTAAATCAGTAATCCTCCTGCTACATTATTTGCATGAATTTATGTTTTCTAGCTCATGAAAATACAGAATATGTTAACATTAATGTAAAATTTCCTCTTATTCCTAAGTTGAATAATGGATTCTTCTGGCCTAGACTTTTTCTTTTTTTATTTTTTTTATTTATTTTTTTTATGCGGTACGCGGGCCTCTCACTGTTGTGGCCTTTCCCGTTGCGGAGCACAGGCTCTGGACGCGCAGGCTCAGCGGCCATGGATCACGGGCCCAGCCGCACCAAGGCATGTGGGATCTTCCCGGACCGGGGCAGGAACCCGTGTCCCCTGCATCGGCAGGCGGACTCTCAACCACTGCGCCACCAGGGAAGCCCTAGACTTTTTCTTATTTAAATTAGTAAAAGAAAGTTTGTCATCTGTGTAAAAGCAAATATTCTCTGAATGTTCAGAGAAACTGTGATTATCCATAACTTCTCTGTAGAAATATAGGCTACTGAATCTAACTTGAATTTATGAGGTATATGAGACCTCAATTTATATATTAATTGATTTTTAGTATGAAGAGATTAGTGTGCTTTTTCTTATGAAATTTGTTTTGACCTTTTTGAAAAAAATATAGTTCGATATTATTATAATCTTTTGGCACCTATGATAGCATAGGTGCCAAAAGATAAAAACAGTTCCTTTCTACATGGGTCTTAGCAAATTGCTGACTCCTAACGGAAAAAACTGGGAAATCAATTTCAAAATAATTGTGCTGATATTGTATTTTTTCTGGGCTTTTGCTTTTCTAAGCTCATTTCTTTGTGAAAACTACATTTCTGCTGTTTTTTGGAATTCTCAGAGAATAGAGGGATTTTATGGGTTGTTTTTTTTTGACATCTCTATTGGAGTATGATTGCTTTACAATAGTGTGTTAGTTTCTGCTTTATAACAAAGCGAATCAGCTATACATATACATATATTCCCATTTCTCCTCCCTCTGGCGTCTCCCTCCCACCCTCCCTATCCCACCCCTCTAGGTGGTCACGAAGCACCGAGCTGATCTCCCTGTGCTATGCAGCTGCTTCCCACTAGCTATGTATTTTACATTTGGTAGTGTATATATGTCCATGCCACTCTCTTACTTAGTCCCAGCTTACCCTTCCCACTCCCCTATGGTTATTTTTCAAATGAAATGTGGCAGTAGTTAGAAATGGATGTATAGGGAAGCAAGATCTCAAAGCTTACTCCTCTGTTATTTAGAGAACATTTATTAAACACTTACTGTGTGCTAAGCGCATGAAGTAACTAAAGTATCAAAAGAGCACAATGGGATAGGTACTATCATCCTCCCCATTTTACATATGAGGAAACTGAGGCACAGAAAGACTAAGAAACTTGCCCGTGGTAGTTACTTAGAGGAACAGGGGCAGATCTAGGATATTGATCAGCCTGTCTGACACTGCCCCTATGCTCATAATCATGTTCTTCTGCCTTCATGACTGTTATCACTGAATTCTTTCATTTTTTTAACTGAAGTTCAGCTGATTTACAATATTATATGTTTCAGGTGTACAACATAGTGATTCATAATTTTTAATGATTATACTCCATTTATAGTTATTATAAAAATTGGCTATATTCCCTGTGCTGTACAATATATCCTTGTAGCTTATTTATTTTTATTTTTAATATTTTATTTATTTATTTATCTATTTATTTATTTTGGCTGCACCGGGTCTTAGTTGAGGCACGTGGGATCTTTTAGTTGCAGCATGCAGACTTCTTAGTTGTGGCATGCGGACTCTTAGTTGCGGCATGAGAACTCTTAGTTGCGGCATGCATGCGGGATCTAGTTCCCCGACCAGGGATCGAGCCCAGGCCCCCTGCATTGGGAGCATGGAGTCTTACCCACTGGACCACCAGGGAAGTCTCTATTTATTTTATTTTATTTTTTATAAATTGATTGATTGATTGATTGATTTTTGGCTGCGTTGGGTCTTTGTTGCTGTGTGCGGGCTTTCTCTAGTTGCAGCGAGTGGGGGCTACTCTTTGTTGCGGTGTGCGGGCTTCTCATTGCGGTGGCTTCTCTTGTTGCAGAGCACGGGCTCCAGGCGCGCAGGCTTCAGTAGCTGTGGCACTTGGGCTCAGCAGTTGTGGCTCGCAGGCTCTAGAGCGCAGGCTCAGTAGTTGTGGCACATGGGCTTAGCTGCTCCGTGGCATGTGGGATCTTCCCAGGCCAGTGCTTGAACCCATGTCCTCTGCATTGGCAGGTGGATTCTTAACCACTGCACCACCAGGGAAGTCCCCCTATTTATTTTATATATAGTAGTTTGTACCTCTTAATGCCCTACCTCCAGCTTGCCTCTCTCCCCTTCCCTCTCTTCACTGGTAACCACTAGTTTGTTTTCTAGATCTGCGAGTCTGTTTCTTTTTTGTTATATTCACTAGTTTGTTGTATTTTTTAGATTCCACATATATGTGATATCATACAGTATTTACCTTTTTCTATCTGACTTATTTCAATTAGCATAATGCCCTCCAAGTCCATCCATGTTGTTGCAAATGGCAAAATTTCATTCTTTTTTATGGCTGAGTAGTATTCCATTGTGTATGTATACCACACCTTCTTTATCCATTCATCTGCTGATGGGTACTTAGGTTGCTTACATATGTTGGCCATTGTAAATAATGCTGCTATGTACATTGGGGTGCATGTCTCTTTTTGAATTAGTATTTTCATTTTTTTTCAGATAAGTACCCAGGAGTGGAATTGCTGGGTCATATGGTAGTTCTGTTTTTAGTTTTTTGAGAAACCTCTATACTGTTTTCCATAGTGGCTGTCCCAATTTACAGTCCCACTAACAGTGTACAGAGGTTCCCTTTTTTTCCACATCCTTGCCAACATTTGTTATTTGTGGTCTTTTTGATGGCTAAGACTGAATCCTTAACGATCATCTCTTCCAGTGTCTCCACTAGAAAAGAGACTTTTTTTCAGGAAGTTTTAATTTTTGCGTTAATAAGAGAGGTTCATTGATTGCATAGAGGAGAGCATCTTAGAATTTTTTTAAATAAAGGGGGAAGGAGTGGGCAAGAACCAAGATTCCATGTAGCATTACTGGAATAAATGGCTGGTATCAAGATTTGTGGAATAAGTGGTAAAAATATTTTTACTTCAAGTCAGAAATTCTAAGACATTTCCATCAACCTACATATGTTCTGTTACTGTTACTTTGCACCCTGCTTCTCTGAATCACTGGTTGTGTTAGCTTGGACAGGCTACTTAACCTAACATCCTATAAATGCGATAGTAATTCCCAGCTCAGCCCTCCTAGTGATGCTGAATGAGCTAGCTCATGAAGAGAACCCAGGCCAGACCCCGCCATAGAGTCAGTGCTCAATTAAGTACAGGTTGTTATTATTGAGCACAGTGGGAGATGGAAACAATATCTAACCTGATAATGTGTTTTCAAGTTGCTGCAAAGCCGAGGGGCCAGGACAAGTACACAAATAACTGCAATGGAGTGAAGTAGGATTAGTGTGGTGTAAGAAGTATGGAAAGAGTGCTGTGGGAGAGGGTTCCCCATCATTGGTGGAATTAGGGAAAGCTCTGAGAAGAAGGTGTTAACTCATTTCAGCTAAGCCAGCTTTTCCTGAAGTGTGGAACGCACATGGGGCAGTAATGGAAGATGACTTCATGTGGTATTCTGACATGGCATGAAATAACTTTGAATTCCATGGTAAAAAATGATTCCCTTTTCCAATTCGTCTGACCTCATTAGGGAGAACCTCTTGGCTTGGTGCCAGTAGTGGCAGCTCTCAAACACATGCTCATGTGCCTTTTTGTCAAAGAGAGAGCAGACTTCAGGCTCAAAATAGGGAGCATCTACTTAGAATTTTGTTGCTATTTTTAGTTACATGCTATTTATAGCAAATGGTACTGGTTTTCCCATTTGAAGTAGTGATACAAAATTTTCTGTATAAAAAATTTTCTCTAAGAAAAAATGAGTTAAAGAAAAAATACTAAGCAAATAATATTACATATGATTCGTGGGTTATGGTAAATGGTATGTGAAGAAACTCTGTGCTGGACTATGAAAGAGGGACAGAAGTTTACCAGGAACAATGAGAGTATTCATGATATGTACAGCTTGAGTAAAGGGGCATGGCAAAAAAGTATGTTTGGAGATTAATAAATAGTTCAGTTTGGGAGGAGCAAGTTTCATTACTGATAAGTAACAAAGCTAGAAGTACAAAACTATATTAAAATTCAGTTAGTAACGAAGTTTTACAGACCTAGCAATAATCGTTGATATTCCTCAACTGCTGTTTATCATTTTTTCCATGGAAAATGTTCTTTTCTTTCTGTATATCTGAGGAGAAAATTAAGCACTTCAGTCAACTTAAATCTGAATTTTTTCTTAAAGACAATACTTTGAGGAAGATACTTTGTTTAATTACAGAATTTAAAGTAGCAGCCCCGAAAAACTTCATTCTGAAAAGGCTTTTCTGGAAAGTAGTTGTTTTGTCTTATTTTTAATCTTTAAAGCTTGTTTTACCTGTTTATCAAATGCAGCATATTCAATCTTAAAGTAAAATATAAATAAATGTTGTATACTGATGCTGCATTTTAAAATGTTGATTAAATTTAATGCAATCATCTTGATGCCTGAAATGTTGTGATGGAATCATTGTATATGGTGTGTTGGGGCCAGGGAGACAGAAGAGGGGAGAGCAGTAGGGAAAAGATAGTAGCTCACACGGGTTGGGTTAGCAGACACAAAAAAAGAGAGATTGAGGGGAAGTTCCTGGCATGCAAGAAGTATGAGTACAGACAGTGAGATGAGAAAGTACATTTCAAGAAGTCTTATGTGTATGTTCCCCTACAATAAAAATATAATTAAAAAGTTACTTTTGAATGTAGGATTGTTATTTTTTAAAAGGTGACTCCTGGGAAGTCAAAGCAGTCTAGCTCCCACTTGGCAAGTTACACACTTACTCTGTAAGCCTGACTTGTAGTCTCAGGTTTAGGTGAAGGTATTGAGAAGCCCAGGTGAGTACTGGTGCTGTGCTAATGAGACTCATTCTGGTTAGTGGTCTTATACATAGTTGCCACCTTTTTATTGCACAGTTGGGAAGTGCACAGCTTCCCCAGCCATACCTGACAGTCTTGGCCATGTCTTAGATTCTAAGTGCTTGACACATCTGATGACCAACCATCCTGGTTTACCTAGACTAGGATAACAAACTCTCCCAGTTTGCCTGGGACCGAGGAGGTTCATGGCACTTGGGACTTTTAGTGCAAAAGGTAGACCAGTCCCAAGCAAATTGGGATGGTTGATCACCCTAATTAGAGGGCAGAGTAGCTACAGAGAATAGAGTATCAAGTGTCCCCAACATTGAGGCAGGTAAGGATGATGTAGTGCTGTATAATCAAAAATGCTTGAGCTAGATAGACAGTTAGGAATACACCATCCAAGTTTTAACTAAAAAACTTCAGAGAATTATGGAAAATACAGGGACAGGCATCAACATGACTTACATATGGTTATGAAGAGTCCACATGGAAAGGCTAAAGAAATTGGTATTATCTCCCACCCAAATAAACCTCTCCAGTCCAACCTACATGGTGTCTACTCATCTATAACACTGATTGTGAGGACTTTGCTTCCTAAAAAACTTCTTGAGGTTCTCCTTATTAAGTACAAGCACTTTGGCTTTGGCATTTAAGGCTCCCCACTACTGACCTCTTGTCACAGATTCCAAGTGTGGACAGGCATGGCCTTTATTTTAGCAGGGTGGGTTATCAGGAAGGGGCCAACATCTGCATAGGGCAGCCACTGGGAAAACGAATCCAGCTGTAGATGCTAAGGGAGAAGGCACAGTGCCCAAGGACGAGAGTGATCTCTACAAAGAGAATGTGCAAAATGAGAAATATCAGGGCATTATAGCATGTGGGTGGATTACACCCAGATGTCTGCATAAACATTTGGCACCAGGAAGATCTGCATGTTCAGGATTTGGGAACAGGGCCTTCATGGAATGTGGGGTTGGGGGGAGTAGCAACGATACAAAGTCAAGAGTAAAGTCAGTAGCTGGGAAAGGACTGGCAAAGGACTTAGCTCAGGGCCCAAAGAAGAGGGCCACCTAGACAACCTGGACACAATCAGGGGATTGATTTAAAGCAGATGTCTAGGCAGGAGAACGGAGCTACCACCTAAGGGTTAGACTAGGAAGAAGGGTGTTGATGCTGAACACCAGAATGTTGGTCTTAAGTATCTCCAATCTTAAAACAGGCCTGAAGCAGGTGGCCTCGGCTGTGGAGGAAAAGAGGGATGCAGAGAAAGGGAATAAAACCAGGTCTAGCCCACTCAACCCACCACTTCACCACTCTCACCTCTTTTCTGTAAAAGCTTGAACCATGTGAAATGATTGGAACACCCTGCCCTTCCCAGCCCCTCCACGTTTTCCCCTACTATTGCTTTCTCTAGGATACTCTTTCCATTTTCTCCTGTTAAAATCCTACCCATTCATTCTCCAAGGCTCATCTCAAATACTGTTCTTCTGCCTTTCCTCAATGGAGAACTTTGGTACCTTCCTCTTTTTGATCTGTTATGGCAGTTCTGTGCCTTAGAACTCTCCTTGATATTTTATAATCTGCACTGTTCAATAAAGTAGCCACCTAGCCACACGCGGCTATTAAGCACTTGAACGTGGCTAGTGACCAAGGAAGTGAAACATTAATTTTATTCATTTTTAGTCCATTTAAATGTAAATAACCACATGTGGCTAGCGGCTTCTGTATTGGACAATGCAGTTCTACAGCATCTCCCATAGTACTTTCTCTTTAACGATTCAATAAACATTTATGGCATGCCTATTCTGTGCTTGTAGCAATAGGTACTAGAAATGCAACCATGGCTAAGACACAGTCCCTACCCTCAGGAATTAGCACAGACATTCTCCCTTTTGCTTGGTATATATTTGTTATTTACCATAGTATTCTATAAGCTTCTTCAGGACAGGCATGTGTCATACTCATCTTTGTATTCTCCCTAAGGCCTAACATAATGCCTGCCTATATCAGGTTGCACAATCAATTCATAATAAATTGAAATTTTATTCTCTTGTGAAAAATTAACCTGATTGGAAGTCTAGGAGTAAAGCATTCATGTTCTGCTTCTTACTTGAAAATTCTGCAGCCGTTCTTTAATGTAATATCCTTAGATGGACTACAATAGAAGATCTTCTAATTTAGTTGTCAAAAAATGAAAGGTCAAAGTGAATAGAGAGGGAAATAAAAGGCACATGGGTAGTCTCCCTGTTTGGGGTCTTTCCCTACTTCAGTGGAGTACGTTGTGTCCCTCAGAGCTGGTAGCCTTATGTTCTCTCTCTAACCTGCAACCAAAATCTAGTCTCATATTCATTTACACAGAGTTAACAAATATGACTAGTAAAACTCAACATTTTAATCTTCTTTTAGGAGCTCTTTTATTTAAATGGTTATCATAGCCTTAAGCTAAAGCAGTGTTTTTTTCCAACTTTGTGCTGGGCTCCCTGCAGAATGTAAGTTTATGTGAAGCTCCCTTAAGAACCCACACTGGGGTGGGGAAATTAGAGGCAGCTTTAATTTTTGGTTCTTGGGTAAGAGGATGGGAAATTATACATATATATTTAAAAATTATAATAGGGGCTTCCCTGGTGGCACAGTGGTTGAGAGTCCGCCTGCCGATGCAGGGGATGTGGGTTCGTGCCCCGGTCCGGGAGGATCCCACATGCCGCGGAGCGGCTGGGTCCGTGAGCCATGGCCGCTGAGCCTGCGCGTCCGGAGCCTGTGCTCCGCAATGGGAGAGGCCACAACAGTGAGAGGCCCGCGTACCGCAAAAATAAATAAATAAATAAATAAAGTTAATATAATGAATAACTATAGGCATATTCTTATAATTAATAATACAATTATTATAATCATATAATAAACAATATAATATTATATAATCATAATATATACAGTTGACCCTTGAACAACATTAGTTTGAACTGCTTGGGTCCACTTATATGTTGATTTTTTCAATAGTAAATACTAAACTACTACACGATCATGGTTAGTTAAATCCAAGGTGTGGAACCGCAGATATGGAGGGCTGACTGTAAGTTATACTCACATCTCGTGTTGTTCAAGGGTCAAATGTTTATCATTTTCCCTTTTAAAAATCAACTTCATTGGGGTATAATTTTCCTCTGTAGGTAATTTTTATTCTTCAATTTTATTACAAGAAAAATTTTAAATTACGAGAACACTTTTGTACAGGTTGACTAAACTGCAAGCTTTAGGAGTACAGACACCATGTCCAGTTTGTCAGTTTTGCTTAAGGTGTTATTCTCATTACTTAGCATAGTACCTGCCACATGGCTGCAATCAATAGTTACATGTTCAATGAATGAATGAAAGAGTTCTCTAGACATGTTATTTCCCAACCATTCTTTTTTTCTTCATGAAGTTTTTTTTTCCTTCAGTTTTTAAAAACTATGGTGAAATACATATAACATAAAATTTACCATCTTAACCATTTTTAAGTGTCTAGTTCAGTGTTAGGCACTCATGTTGTATATCTATCACCACCATCCTTCTGCAGAACTCTTTCCATCTTACAAAACTGAAACTATATTCATTAAACAACAACACCCCATTTCCCCTTCCCCCCAGCCCCTGGCAACCACCATTCCTCTTTGCGCCTCTATGAGTTTGACTATTCTAAATATTTTAAATATTCTAAATATCTCATGTAAGAGGAATTATACAGCATTTGTCATTTTGTGACTGGCTTATCTCACTTGGCATGATGTCTTCCAGATTCATTGATGTTTCCTTCATTTTAAGGTTGAATAATATTCCAGGTATGTAATACCACATGTTATTTATCCATTCATCCATTGATTAGCACTTGGGCTGCTTCCACATTTTAGCTACTGTGAATAATGCTGTTATGAACATGGGTGTGTAAGTATCTCTTTGAGACCCTGCTTTCAATTCTTTTGGGAGTATAGTTGGAAGCAGAATTGCTAAATCATGTGGTAATTCTATTTTTAATTTTTTGAGGCACCGCCATACTGCTTTTCACAGCAGCTATACCATTTTACATTCCCACCAACAGTGCATAAGGGCTCCAGTTTTTCCACATCCTTGTTATTTACTGATTTTTTTTTTTTTTTTTGCGGTACGCAGGCCTCTCACTGTTGTGGCCTCCCCCGTTGCAGAGCACAGGCTCCAGACACGCAGGCTCAGCGGCCATGGCTCATGGGCCCAGCTGCTCCGCAGCATGCGGGATCTTCCCGGACCGGGGCAGGAACCCGTGTCCCCTGCATCGGCAGGCGGACTCTCAACCACTGCGCCACCAGGGAAGCCCTTTACTGATTTTTTGATAGTAGCCATTCTAATGGGTGTTGGTGGTACCTAATAGTTTTGATTTGCATTTCCCTAATGATTAGTGATGTTGAGCATTTTTTCCCATGCTTATTGGCAATTTGTATATCTTCTTTGGAGAAATACTGGCGTCCAATTTACATATAATAAAGTGCACATATTTTTGAGTGCATTGTAAAGAGTTTTAACAAATGTATATATCTGTATAAACACCACCCCAGTCAAGACTGAGAACATTTCTATCACCCCTTAGGGCTACCTCGTGCCCTCTGGCAGTCAGTTTCCTCTGACCCCTGGCCTCAGGCAACTATTGTACTTTCTGTCTTCATAGATTAGTTTTGCCTGTCCTAGAATTCCACTTACATGGAATTGTACACTATGTACACTTTTGTGTTTGGCTTCTTTTGACATAATATTTTTGAGACTCTTTCATGTTGTTGCTGGTAGGCAGAAAATATTTTATAAGTGAAAATTCTTGAACCACTGAGCGGTGGGAGATCACAATAATAACTGACATTTATTAAGCACATACAATATGTTGAGTACTGTTCAGGCTTTACAAATAATATCTTACTTAATCCTAACATCAACCTCATGAGGTGATTCTATTAATCCCATTTTAGAGATGAAAAGTCACAGAATGTATAAGTAATCTGCCAAATGTCCTACAGCTACCCAGTGGCAGAGCTGGTATTTGAACTCAAAGAACCTGGCTCCAGAGTCAGCGTGTAAAGTTACCACCCTCTGCAACCCCAGCACTCCTGAGAGGGCCAAGGTGTACGTCCTGCTCCTTTTGTCCTTCCCTCTTTCCACTTGCCGTCCTCAGCCTCTTCTGAGCACACATATACCTGTCTAAACGAAGAGTCTAAGTTGCCACTAGTAAACGAAAGTGTAAGGCCCACTGGCCCGAGGCAGGGGAACACAATCAGATTCACAGGTTGCATCAGACCGAAATTCTCCGGACCACCCAGTTCCAGAAACTGACCTGGAGACATTCCGGACCACCCAGTTCCAGGAACTGACCTGGGGACTTTGCACCCGGCCCAGCCTTCCCGCCTTTCGAGGGGCGGGACTAACGGTCCCCCAGGATACCCGAAAAGACCACCAAATAAGGAATACCCTGCACCCTCCCAGATTCACCACACCCCTTTCCCTTCTTCCCCTATAAAATCTTGCCCAACCCGTGCGACTTCTCTGGCCCCTTTCTCTCGGACCAGTGAGCCTCGCCCGGGAGCGCTCCCTAATAAAGCTCACTTGAAGCTTTCCTCTGTTTCGCGGTGCCGTTTGTTAAGATCCGACCTTACAGAAAGTGCTGGGGAAAAAATGAACAGTAGAGGAATAGAAAAGAGAAGCAATTATATCCAATTCTCATTAGTACCAACTTGCCTGATTTCATGGGCCTGTGCTTATTTTCATGCTCAATTATCTCATGAGACTGGATAGGAACACACAAAAAACTGGTTCCCACACTCTTAAGTCAGTGTTTATTTTGGCAGAAGTGGCAATCTACATTTCCACTGTATTAACAGAAGTATTAAAATCATTCTGCACCATCTTCATGGGCTATACCACTGCTGTACATTTGTTTCTGAATTAGTAAACAGTTTTAAATGAGTGCTTTTCTAGCCATTATTTCATTATGTCCTCACAAAGGCCAAATTACTTTGGAAAGGCAGGAAATATAGCGGCCCCCATTTAATATTATTATTCCAAGGTGACTGAATGACTGGCCTAACGTTATACACCTACTTCTGGATGATCTTCACTATTAATGGTGAAGCTGGGCCTAGGAGGCATCTCTCAGCGTCACCCGCTAGGTTTTAGCTCTGGCTCTGTTCACCAGGACAATGGTCTTCTGGTTGTAAGTAAAAGTATATTTTCAATTTGGGTTATGCTAGTGTCAATGAGAGAGAATGTAAATCACTTTCTCCCTAATTGAAGAACAAATCATTTCTTCTTATTTTTATTATGTAAGAATTGAGAGTTTTGCCAACAGATACCTTAATTACCGTTTTCTTTCCTGCTTGCTTTCACAGACCAGTGACCTTTTTTATTTCCTAGTAAACAAACTTCATGAGTACTTGCCAGAGTCTAGGGATAAGAATGCACATCAAAATAAAAGCCAAAGTGTTGGTGAGCTGGTGTAAGTACTAACTGGATAATCATAGATACTTTTTCCCTAGGATGTTCAAGATAAATGGAAGGCACTGGGCAAAATATATACTGTATTAATGATTAATAGGGCAGCAAGTTTTGCTTCACATAGATTTTTTTAAAACAGCATTTATTTTGTTCTAATTGTATAGTTAAAGCAAAACTACACAAGAAACTAGTAATACTGGCTGTCCCAAAAGGGAAAAAAATGAGTGTATGAATAAAAGACACCTTTCACTGTATTCCCTTTTTTACCTTTGAAATTTTGAGCCAGAAATTACTACCTGAAACAGTTAAAATTATTAAATGTAGTTTAAAAATAGTGTGATTATCATTAAAACTTTGCAAAAAATAAGTGCAAAAATCAATATGTAAATGACTTTTAATCCTGACATGCACCTATTAATTCATTCATTCAACAAATATTTTTGAGTGCTTACTATGTAGCAGTCACAGAGTAGACACTCAACCAATGTTGGCAATTTAACATACAGAATTTCCTTCCTATGCTTTTTTCTACATGGCTATCTGAATGCAGTTCTATTGAGCATTACTGATTTTGTGGAATTCTTAACTTACAATGAAATCATGCCATTTCTGTGATTTTTTTTCTCTTTGTTTTCTAGGGCATGCATTGAAATTATACAGACTCTGGGACTGATGTTCAGAGAAACAGAAACTGAGGCATCACCCCTGAACACATTGGCAGCTAAGAAGTAAGGCCTTTTAAAAATTGAGACCTTGTAGTTGCAACCCCTTAACTATTCTACTGAGTGTCTTCCAGAACTCAACTCTCTTGACTTCTCTGTTCAATCCCCTTGTAAATATATTAAACTCTTTTGTCTCACTTCCTTCTTTGATGAATAGATTAACATACTGAGTTCTCTCTGATTATTGGGGGCACAAAGATTTTGTTAGCATAAGTTTATCTTTTGTCATTGCCTGAAAAAGACCAAATGAACCATCATACGTTAAAAATGAGGGGGTCTCTATTAGAATTTTCTAGAGTACACTTTTATCCACATTGCAAAGGCAGGAACTATAGTAGCTCCCTTTAGTATATAATTGTGTGACCTTGGAGTGAATGACATTGGAGGGAAAGCTGTTGTAAGATACTCCAAGATATGTGGCCCAAAGAAGATAGAAATTTACATCATTCTTACATAACAGTCCCGAGTTAATAGCCATGCTTTTCCTCTACAAGATCAGCCAGAGACTTAGGTTCCCTCCTTTTTGTTGCTCTGCTATCTTCTATCATGCTATCTTTGTCCTCATGGTTAGCTGGCTAAATTGCTTGCTTTTATAACTCCCTGTGGGAATCAGGAAGAGAAGTAAAGGGCAAGCAACTTTCCTTTTTAAGCAAGGCATATAAGACTTTTGCTTACCTTCTGTTGGTGAGAACTTTAGGCACATGGTGTTTCTAGCTGCAGAAGAGGCTGCAAAATGCGTCTGTAGTTGGACAGCTGTGTGCCTAGCTAAACTATAGATGGCAATGGGACATCTGTAATTTAAAGGAAGAATGGAAGAACGTATAGTGAGGGACAACAGCATTCTTTGCCACAGAAAGTATGTGTTTGCATGTCTTCCATATTATCTGCTTGACCTTTTTGTGAGATTTATAGGCTATGAATTACACCCTCAGGCAATGGTCTGACTAAAATCTTAATTTTTTTCTACCCATATCAATTGTTTATCTACATTTCTTGTACTAGAAGGTGGAAGAAGGAAGACAGCCATGGACTCTGAAACATTTAAACCAGAGGGAAGAATAAGAACTTTTAGTATTATTTGTCCAGGCTATTTATTAGAGACCTTTACAATAAATTTTAATGATAATACTCATTAACATACCTTAAGCAACTTGCTATGTGCCAGGGACTATGGGCATACTGTGCATTATAGCAGGGATGGTCAAACATTTCTGCAAAAGGCCATATAGTATGGGCTTCCCTGGTGGCTCAATGGTTAGGAATCCACCTGCCAATGCAGTGGACACGGTTCGAGCCCTGGTCCGGGAAGATCCCACATGCCGCAGAATAACTGAGCCTGTGCACCACAACTACTGAGCCTGCGCTCTAGAGCCTGCAAGCCACAACTACTGAAGCCTGTGCACCTGGAGCCCGTGCTCCGCAACAAGAGAAGCCACTGCAATGAGAAGCCCGCGCACCACAACAAGGAGTAGCCCCCGGAGGGCCCCCACAAGCTTCTGGGATCTGCAGGGAGCAGGTGTCTCAGTGACAACTATACTCTGGACTAAATCCTGAATTTGTCTTGTTGGTCAAATGATTAACATCAAAAGCAGCTCCAAGAGATTGGCTCAAGATGGTGGAGTAGAAGGACATGCCCTCATTCCCTCTTGCGAGAGCACCGGAATCACAACTAACTGCTGAACAATCATTGACAAGAAGACACTGGAACTCACCAAAAAAGATACCCCACATCCAAAGACAAAGGAGAAGCCGCAATGAGATAGTAGGAGGGGCGCAATCACAATAAAATCAAATCCCATAACTGCTGGGTGGGTGACTCACAAACTGGAGAACACTTATACCACCCACGGAAGTGAAGGTTGTGAGCTCCATGTCGGGCACCCAAACACGGAGGTCCGGCAACGGGAGAAGGAATTCGTAGAGAATCAGACTTTGAAGGCTAGCGGGATTTGATTGCAGGACTTCGACAGGACTGTGGGAAACAGAGACTCCACTCTTGGAGGGCACACACACAAAGTAGTGTGCGCATCAGGACCCAGGGGAAGGAGCAGTGACCCCATAGGAGACTTAACCACACCTACCTGTTAGTGTTGGAGGGTCTTCTACAGAGGTGGGGGTGCCTGTGTCTCACCGTGAGGACAAGGACACTGGCAGCAGAAGTTCTGGGAAGTGCTCCTTGGTGTGAGGCCTCCCAGAATCTGCCATTAGCCCCACTAAAAAGCTGGGTAGGCTCCAGTGCTGGGTCGCCTCAGGCCAAACAACCAACAGGGAGAGAACCCAGCCCCACCCATGAGCAGACAAGCAGATTAAAGTTTTACTGAGCTCTGCCTACCAGAGCAACAGCCAGCTCTACCCACCACTAGTCCCTCCCATCAGGAAGCTTGCACAAGCCTCTTAGATAGCCTCATCCACGAGAGGGCAGAGAGCAGAAGCAAGAAGAACCACAATTCTGCAGGCTGTTGAAGTAAAACCACATTCACAGAAAGATAGACAAAATGAAAAGGCAGGGCTTCCCTGGTGGCGCAGTGGTTGAGAATCTGCCTGCCAATGCAGGGGACATGGGTTCGAGCCCTGGTCTGGGAAGACCCCACATGCCACGCAGCAACTAGGCCCGTGAGCCACAACTACTGAGCCTGCGTGTCTGGAGCCTGTGCTCCACAGCAAGAGAGGCCGCGACAGTGAGAGCCCTGCACACCGCGATAAAGAGTGGCCCCCACTCGCTGCAACTAGAGGAAGCCCACGCACAGAAACGAAGACCCAACACAGCCAAAAATAAATAAATTAATTAAAAAAAAAAAAAGGCAAAGGACTTTGTACCAGATGAAGGAACAAGATAAAACCCCAGAAAAACAAAATGAAGTGGAGATAGGCAACCTTCCAGAAAAAGAATTCAGAATAATGATAGTGAAGATGATCTAGAACCTCGGAAAAAGAATGAAGGCAAAGATGCAAGAAATGTTTAACAAACACCTAGAAGAATTAAAGAACAAACAAACAGAGATGAACAATTACAATAACTGAAATGAAAAATACACTAGAAGGAATCAATAGCAGAATAACTGAGGCAGAAGAACGGATAAGTGACCTGGAAGACAGAATGGTGGAATTCACTGCCATGGAACAAAATAAAGAAAAAAGAATGAAAAGAAATGAAGACAGCCCAAGAGACCTCTGGGACAACATTAAACGCAACAATATTCACATTATAGGGGTTCCAGAAGGAGAAAAGAGAAAGGACGCAAGAAAATATTTGAAGAGATTATCGCCGAAAACTTCCCTAACATGGGAAAGGAAATAGCCATCCAAGTCCCAGAAGTGCAGAGAGTCCCAGGCAGTATAAACCCAAGGAGAAACATGCCAAGACACACAGTAATCAAATTGGCAAAAATTAAAGACAAAGAAAAATTATTGAAAGCAGCAAGGGAAAAATGACAAATAACATACAAGGAACTCCCATAAGGTTAACAGCTGATTTCCCAGCAGAAATTCTACGAGCCAGAAGGGAGTGGCACAATATATTTAAAGTGATGAAAGGGAAGAACCTACAACAAATATTACTCTACCCAGCAAGGATCTCATTCAGATTCAACAGAGAAATCAAAAACTTTAAGACAAGCAAAAGCTAAGAGAATTCAGCACCACCAAACCAGCTCTATAACAAATGCTAAAGGAACCTCTCTAACTGAGAAACACAAGAGAAGAAAAGGACCTACAAAAACAAACCCATAACAATTAAGAAAACGGTAGTAGGAACATACATATCAATAATTACCTTAAACGTGAATGGATTAAATGCTCCAACCAAAAGACACAGGCTCGCTGAATGGATACAAGAAAAAGACCTATATATATACTGTCTACAAGAGACCCACTTCAGACCTAGGGACACATACAGACTGAAACTGACAGGATGGAAAAAGATATTCCATGCAAGTGGAAATCAAAAGAAAGCTGGAGTAGCAATACTCATATTGGATAAAATAGACTTTAAAATAAAGAATGTTACAAGAGGCAAGGAAGGACACTACATAATGATCAAGGGATCAAACCAAGAAAAGATATAACAATTATAAATATATATGCATCCAACATAGGAGCACCTCAATACATAAGGCAACTGCTAACAGCTATAAAAGAGGAAATTGACAATAACACAATAATAGTGGGGGACTTTAACACCTCATTTACACCAATGGACAGATCATCCAAACAGAAAATTAATAAGGAAACACAAGCTTTAAATGACACAATAGACCAGATAGATTTAATTGATATTTATAGGACATTCCATCCAAAAACAGCAGATTACACTTTCTTCTCAAGTGTGCATGGAACATTCTCCAGGAGAGATCATATCTTGGGTCACAAATCAAGCCTCAGTAAATTTTAGAAAATCGAAATCATATCAAGCATCTTTTCTGACCACAATGCTATGAGATTAGAAATCAATTACAGGGAAAAAAACGTAAAAAACACAAACACATGGAGGCTAAACAATATGTTATAAATAACCAAGAGATCACTGAGGAAATCAAAAAATACCTAGAGAAAAATTATAACAAAAACACGAAGATCCAAAACCTATGGGATGCAGCAAAAGCAGTTCTAAAAGGGAAGTTTATAGTAATACAAGCCTACCTCAAGAAGCAAGAAAAATCTCAAATAAACAATCTAACCTTACACCTGAAAGAACTAGAAAAAGAAAAAACAAAACCCAAAGTTAGTAGAATGAAAGAAATCATAAAGATTAGAGCAGAAATAAATGAAATAGAAACAAAGAAAACAATAGCAAAGATCAATAAAACTAAAAGCTGGTTCTTTGAGAAGATAAACAACATTGATAAACCTTTAGCCAGACTCATCAAGAAAAAGAGGGAGAGGACTCAAATCAATAAAGTTAGAAATGAAAAAAGAGAAGTTACAACGGACACCACAGAAATACAAAGCATCCTAAGAGAACAATACAAGCAACTCTATGCCAATAAAATGGACAACCTGGAAGAAAT